TCACTGGACAGCTGGTGCTTCGCGTACTTTTTTTTATTAGAAAATACGCTCGGCTTACTAGCTTCAGTGAAGGATGAAAACGATACACACACAAATATCTCAACGAAAGCCACTTTCGAACCCATAGCACACGAAGTTCAAAGCCGAATGTGGGCCAACAATTTTCAAAAGAAATCGATCAAAACAAATCGCAAAAAAGTGGCGGCAGATGGGGAGATTTTCAGACTGTGCATATATGCAAACAAGTACAACATTTTGACGTGAAGGTTTTTATTTCACCCGCAGGGGTTTTGCAGAAAAATGCATTGTGCCTCGTGCCGCTGGCCCTACACTTCAGCAACGTGCAGTAAACGCCGAAATATCCAATGGGGCGCTTGCTTCTTGTTTTAGTGTCCAATACATTCTCAATGGTGACCTATCCAGCCTAATTATGCGCTTGTTTAAACAAGCATGTTGAAACAGACAAGTTCACCACATAATCTTTGCGCATACCTCAATAATCACACCTCACTCGGCATCAAACCCTTTTCGAGTGTTCACTTTCCCAAGAATGTCATCCACTTCCGGAGCTGCGATATTGTACTCGCACGTTACCTCAGTAGTCTTGTTGCAAATAAAATGCATAATTTTTGTTTTTTATTACCTCTGTTTTTACGCTGCTATGCAAGCCCCGACGCTTGGCTTATTTCCCCAGGAATCCCTCGGGGAGACCTGAAACTTAATTACACCTTGTTTTGGTTTGACCGACAGGTTTTCCACCGTTGAACTGACTAACAGACCGCAAGGGCATTGTAAGCAGATTTTTAAGCACAGGGCGCACATATTTATTAGGCAGCAGTTTTTCTCATTTTGTGTAGTTGCTGTGTGGAACAGCCTTGCTCCGACGATTGTCCGCGTAACATCTAGTGCTCAGGTCAACGTATTTTTGGACGCTATTTTTAATTGAGTCCTCGTTCTGGCAAACTTACTACCCCACGCTGGGAACTTAAAGATCAGTGCTAAACCCTTTTTCCGCTTGGGCTTTTACAGGTGGACGGCAGTCAACGAATGACAGTATCTAGCCCGACCGGAGAAGTTCTGGAGAAACCCTTGACCTTGTGTATCAATCCGGGAATCTGTGAACGCACATACTTGGGCGCAACTAACCCGTTCAGGGCCAACCCTCACAAGAAGCAAGGCCCATACCGTTTGTATTTTTCCTCAGCTGTGCAACCCGGATCTGTGAACAGCCTCAAAGACCATATCTCAATTCTATAATGTACAGCTAGTGAACTCATCTGCCTAAACCGCGTGGTAATAGGGCTGACTGCTTAAGGCGCGCCATTCAATTTTGAATGTGGCCTTGAAGATGTCGGGGTACGTTGTGCACAAGAAAACCAATGCGTTTCATCTTCAGAGATATAGGTTCTGTCTTAGGGCATCGGTGCTGCCTCAAGAAAAAACTCGCGGACCTTGCTGAAGAGGTATGCCGAAAATTGTTACGATTTTCCTCAGATAAACGCAAGAGAAGATGATGTTCGGCATTCTACGCTGCTTAGCAAACGGACACCGGAGTCTGCGCGCCTTAAGTCCCCGGCAAAAAAAGTCTGCAGGGTATGTTTGCAGTTCTTCTTTTCATTCCGCTGCAGGAAAGCCTGGCCACCCTCGATTTGCTGCCTCTGTCCCTTCACAAAGCTCGTTGGGAGAAAATGATGAACGATAAAGAAAATATTTTTGCACCGAAAACCGCACCGAAGGTTAGTTATCCGAAATCCTCCGTTTTTATCTGACATTCTTTGGTTGTGTGCTTTTCTTTGACAACCACTCATGGTGGAGCAGACGGCAGGGGAAATTCTCTTTTAATTTGCCTTAACCAAATGTGGTGTGGTAACTTTCAAGAAGCCAAACGAAGGATTCGTTGTTGATGCAGAAGCTGTCCGATGCGTTCAGACATCACACACATGATGCGCTCGCGAAGCTTGTCCCGAACCGGGTTAGGTCAACAGAATCTAGGATATACTTCTTCAGTAGGAACACAAGTGTTGTCAGGTTATCGGTGATTAACAATCTCGATTTGATAGCCGGAATCCAATGGCGAAATTGGGACAAGTCCAATCGCCAGGGCCCATCATATCCTGGATTCCGAAATATGCAAACTTACCCCCTTGAACCCTCATCCCAGTTTAATCGTGTTGTTAGACAGACGGTGGGGTTTATATTCGGGTTAGGACTTAACCATCTCAAAGGTCGTATTAAGAAGAAACCGGCCTCAATCTGGGAACTCTGGTGCCGGAGTCAGACCTTATAGAGGTAATCTGGAGCGTCTTGGTTTCAGAATACATCAGAAACCCTAGGTCTTCAGTTGCAGTGCTTATGAGGTATCCAATTTGGTAAGTTATGAGCTCCCAGGAACGGATCGCATGATTATCATGGCTGATAGAAGATGCTCGAGAGACGGGGTGTTGCTGCCAATCGATGCCAATGGTGTTCTTGTTGCCAGCTTCTATCCAGATTGCCTGAGTGAGTGTCTAGAGGGGTAAGTATCTCGGAATGATTTTGGTAAGCTAGCACTAAGTCCCTACCCCATCCACTTTTATCCACAACAAGGCTTTCAAATAAACCATGGTTGTACGGCAGCGAAGCACCAATGTTTTAACACTGATGATGAGGATGAAGTTGATAATGAAATGCGGTGAGGCACGACTGTGTTATCTTAAGGCTATCCAGTGATTAATCGTGGTAAGTTTTTGAGTCTGAGGCTGTGCTCTATCTAATCTCAATCGAAGTTGAGTATCGTTGAAAATTTATTGATATCGACCTCGAAAAGTTTAAACTTGAGAAGTCCTCCCGTGCCGCCGAAGCCGGTACCGAGTAAGTTGCCCATCACGAAGGACCCGGGATGACGGTTTGTACACCTCTGTGGTCCACTGAACTGTATTGCGTGGTGTCCGTGCGCCACTCACAGGTTGATCAATGGTTAGAGGTCTGACTAACACAGTCTCCGAGCGCTTTAAGTTGGTGGTTGGAACAGGTGTAGCAAATTGTAGTAGTAGTGCACTTGCATTTTCCGCCAAGCATCGCTTTTTTGTGGTCAGGTTTTTGAACAAAAGGCTTTAGTTGAGGACTTCAATCGTCCTGTCTAATTGTGAGTGCCTTCGCAGTGTCCTAACCCACCTGCAACCATGAGACAACTCATGCCTCATCCGCAGTCGCGTGGTGTCACCAATCTGGTCGCCTTATTTGTTGCATACAGCGGGGCGGGTAAGCTATGTGGAAGCGTCTCTACTTGGTTGGATACCCGTTAACAGTCGCCTGTGCGCAGTTCGTGTGGTAATGTCTAAGACAGTCCCTGTTCACCTGTTTATGCCACGATATCTAATTCTGGCGAGCCCGAAATAGCTCAGTGATTAAGGCGCCAGGAGGTTCGTGGTGTGAACCCAACCTCAGCACCTCGAATGCTGCTGTCTGGTCTTGGGAAATCTGGCATCACATCCTTAGTGCCTCCTTCCGTTGGCATGACAGTCGAGCACCGAAAGGATGTTACTGCTCAACGGGTTGGTTTTCTCACCTGAATCTGGCGTTTCTCTAACGCTGTAGGTGCTTCCTTAGGACGGGCTAGAAGCTCAGACATCGTTGTTGGTGGTGGTATGAACGCCCAGGTGGGTGGGTAAGCGCTGCTGTGGCCGAATTTGGTGGTCGTCTTGGGTTGAATATGAGACGCACGAACAAAAAAACTGTCTACTTCATGTGTTCCAATCATAAACTGTTTCTTCGCAGTATCAGTTTCCGAGACAGCAGGAGTCGTCTGACCATGTGGTGCCCACCAACGAACCAATTCCAAATCCAACTACACCACATAGCCTACGGTTACGGATGGCGACGCTCGATCACCGCCTACCGCTCCGTCTGATTCTGACCCTGCACTTGTGTGCTGCTGTTCTTCGCTGCGCTTTTCAGGTCTACGCAACACGTATGCACCTCGATTAGCCATAGAGAAGCCTATAGACCCGAAATCAAAGGAAACTCTAAGAACCGGCTGCTCGAATATCTGCCAGTCCGGCCTTATGTCGGATATTGACATCCATCGAGAAGAGATATCCACAGTGCTACTCAGAGCCGGAACTTCCATTTGCGGTACAACCCAGCCAAACACCAAGCGCTGTATCTCTGGAGGGACCGTCGCTTTGATGGAGTCCAGACGACAAATTCCTCCTGGCGGGACCATAACTCAACCCGACGCATCATCCGACGTCATGTTAAACTGAGTATCCGTGCAGACCAGGAAGTTTGGTGGGCCCGGAAGGCTGATGAAATGGAAGAGTAAAAATGCTGAAAACGTCTTCGGACTGTTCCACTTGATCTTTTCGACTGGTCTTCGGGAACTTGTCAGCGAGACAATCTGGAACCAGAGTGGCTCTCTGATATTCAGCAAAGGGTAACGTTTGAAACGCTTCGCACAATATTTCGAACAACAAATCATTTGGCCTGTAGATTGGCAGCCTCCAACAGAAAAGTGGACGGTTACGAGGGTTTATCTTAACACAAGCATCATGCTGCTCCTGGCCCTGACGACCTTCCACCTGGCGTCTAGAATTATGGTGGTAAACCCCCAGGTCATTGCTTGCTTAGGCTATTTTGGTCAATCTGGGATAACTGGAGTGGGTCGAAGATAGTGCCCATTTAAAAAAGAATGTTCGCATTGAATGTGGATATCCCAAACGTGTTAGTTTGACTCTCGTTGTGATAAGGCTCCTGGCGTCGCTCATTGTCCGGCGTCTTGCGAATCCTTGACCAGTAAGCACCAGATGGGACCAGAAAGAGGATGCGTCGTTCACATCATCACCCTCCGTCAGGTTTTAGAGCAACGCCTTATCTACAGACGATCCACAATCTTAGTGTTCCTTGACTTTAAGGGTGCGTTCGATTCTGTCGATCGCTCGGTGCTTTTAACCACACTTTCTCCACAGTGTACGCCCCAGATGTTTGTGAACATACTCCGGTCCCTATATTCGCACACTTCTAGGTGTGTGAGTGTATGATGAACTCTCCATAATCTTCCTTACAATGATGTCCACTCTCTTCACTCTTGTTCGTCATTTATAAGAGAATTAGGCGAACACTGAGAGGTCTTCAAAACTCCAGTGCTTGGTTTGTTGCTGGTGGGAACCTTGTTGGTCTGGAGTACGCAGATGACATCGCCATCATGTTGGAGGATGAAGGCCGAGCACAATACCTGTTAAAGAAACTGACCACCGTCACGTCATCTGTTGGCATGCGTCTTGCACCTTCATAGTTGTTACGAATAGAATATCGATTCTGACTGAGCGCGAGAACAAGAATGAGTGGCGTAGAATGAATAGCGCTTTACTTGTCTAAGAATAGACGTACATAAGCCGATACTGAAGGCGAAAGCATGGTTAATACAAAACGATAGTGTGAGCACAAAGAATATTCCTGACATTCACCCTGGCCGTTGGATTGTGTGTAGAGGGATAAATTGGTTACAGGTATTGGATGAATGATTGCAAAAATCTAATGGGTAATAATGAGGGTGGTTAGGCTTCTCGATTTCTTAAAATGTAGAGCCGTGTACGCTGCTGGAGCCTGGCTAAATCAGAGATGCTAGGGTCATATGTATCTGGAGATGCAGGTGCATTTCCCGGGCACGGGGGTGAGACTGAACTATGATCGAAATCATCTCCAATGTTATTGAGCGGAGGCGTGTGCAAGTCAGATAGAGGGGGTGCATGAACACCATTGTCTTCATTGGATGAGGTACGCGTGAAATCGTTGACATGTGTGCGATCACCACAAGGAGCGAGATGGCGGACGGATACAGTGCTTTCTCCCCCACCGGGAAAACGAACATGGGCGTAACGTGGATTGCAATTCATAAGTTGGACTTCCTCAACGACGGGCTCATACTTTGAGGCACGGTCAAATCTCTTCAGTAAAACAGGTCCTGGAACAGTGAGCCAAGTTGGTATAGATAAACCACAGGATGACCGACGTTCAAACCGGAACATCCGTTCATGTGGAGTGGCATTCGTGGAGACGCAGAGAAGGGACCGTATAGAGTGGAGGGCATCTGATAGAGCCGACTCCCAGTGACAGATTTGAAGGCCTTTCGTCTTGAGTCTAAGCTGGATTGCGTTCCAGAGTGTCCCGTTGAGGCGTTCGACTTGCCCGTTCCCCTGGGGATTATAAGAAGTTGTTCGGCTGGTGCAAACTCCCCTGTCATGTAGGAATGTGGACAGTTCGTCAGATATGAATGAGGAGCCACGATCCGAATGTACATATGCAGGCATGCCAAACAAAGAGAATAACTCACACAGACATTTAATAACTGTAGACGCACATGTATCTACGCAGGGAAAGGCAAACGGAAAACGAGAAAACTCGTCAACGATGGTAAGGAGATACCGGTTTCGAGTAACAGAAGGTAGAGGTCCTTTAAAATCGATGCTAATTCGTTCAAATGGTTGGGTCGCTTTGATGAGCGTAGCGGGGGGTGGTTTGTAAAACTGCGGTTTGATGGCGGCGCAAACCGTACACTTTGTGGTGATGTCCTTGACATCTTGGAGAGAGAACGGCAGGTTTTTGGAAAGAACAAAGTGGTGCATTCGAGTGATTCCAGGATGGCACAAGGAATCGTGAATTTCTTTTAATTTATCATTGCCGATCACATTGGCGCATAGGTTACGCGATAAGGTGTCAGCAACCAGATTGTCTTTTCCAGGTCTGTAGCTCACATCGTAGCTAAAAGCGGAAAGTTCCATTTTCCATCGCTGAATTTTATCATTTTTTATCTTACTTTTTTGCGAGGAACCATACATAAAGGAAACTGACCGCTGGTCAGTGATAAGCTTGAAGTGCTTCCCGAAGAGATAATGCTTCCATTTACGGATAGATTCAACGATGGCGTATGCCTCCTTCTCAATAGCAGAGTGATTCTTTTCGCTCGGTGTCAGTGTTCTAGAAAAGAAGGCCACCGGTTGGCCGTTCTGAGTCAGAGATGCAGCAATGGCTATGTCTGAGGCGTCAGTCTCGACAACCAATGGTGCGTTGTAGTCGACTGTCACAACCATGGCGTTCTCTAACTCCTTCTTTAAATTTTTGAAAGACTGTTGCACACGCTCCGGTAAGGGGAAAGTCTTATTTCTGACAAGCACACTGATTTTGTCAGAGAAGCATGGTATCCATTGCGAATAATAAGCAAACATACCAACAACACGTTGTTGGGATTTAGCGTCATGTGGATGAGGGAGTTCACGAATAGGTTTCATTCGTTCAGGATCTGGTTTGATAATTCCTTTAGAGACTTCGTAGCCCAGAAGGCGTATTTGTTTGGCTGCTATGATGCTTTTCTTACAGTTAAGGGTAATTCCATATTTTCTTATTACTTCAAAGAAAGATTTGAGGTTCTGGTCATGCTCACTTTGGGTAGTCCCACAAATAGTGACGTTGTCGATGTAAGCGTAGGTGCTACTTAGGTTCTCAGACTTGATTATTTGGTCAATAGTACGTTGAAAACATGCTACTCCGTTGGTTACACCGAAAGGAATACGACGGAACTGAAACAGCTCTCCGCATGCTTCAAAAGCCGTATACGGTTTATCTTGCTCACTGATTGGAACTTGATGGTAAGCACTCAATAGGTCTAAGGTGCTAAAGACAGTATGACGGGAAATTTCTTCGATCATTTTATCCAGTCGCGGTAACGGATACGCGTCTAGGTATGTGAACCGATTAATGGTTTGACTGTAGTCCACTACCATGCGTCTTTTGTGGTTTGAATTTTTCGTGACCAGTACTTGAGCCCTCCATGGAGAACTCGAAGGTTCGATTATACCTTCATCCAATAGTCGATTAACTTCACAGCGGATAAATTGTTCATCGTCCGGATTATAACGTCGCGATTTTGTAGCAACAGGCTTGCAGTCGGGTGAGAGGTTAGCAAAAAGAGGAGGTGACTCGACCGCAGCAGCAGGTAGACCGCAGAGGGTGAATGGACCTCGGTCCCCACCGAATGTGATTTCAACTTTGTTATGTAGACCAAGGAAGTCATGGCCTAGCAGCAGGTCAGCACATAGATTGGGTAATACCAATAGTTTGATCTTTTTGTAAACGGTGCCCCTGTAATCGATGGATGCGTAGCAGTAGCCTCTAGTTGAACACGTCAGAGAGGTAGATGCCATGGTAATCACAGAATTGTTAGCATATACCTTCCAGCCATGTTTACCAACCACCAAAGGAGATATGTAACTGCTCGAACTTCCTGTGTCTATGAGGGCCTGAAGCGATATCCCGTTCACCTTTATGCTGGTCACCGTGCGAGACAAGCAGTTCGGGGCCGCAGCAGTCAACAGGGAAGATAAGGCCGAATCCGTTGTGCAATTTGAGTGACACTTTACAGATTTGGATCGACAAACACGCTGAAAATGGCCTGTTTTGCCACATGATTTACAAACTGCTTCTCTTGCGGGGCACTTTGACCGTGGATGTCTGGAACGACCACAAAAGTAACATATCTGAGAACTGATTGACGAGAGATAGGGTGTAGAATCAGGGGAGTTTGAGTGTGAAGGGATAACTGTAGATGTCTGTAAAGGTGCTGCAGCCGCAGAAAATGATATCGCCTGGTTATGTGAGTATGACTGAGCTTGTTTGTGGGCCAATTCTAATGACCTGGCCAATTCATGAGCTTCATCGAGAGTGAGTTCGTTTTGAGCTAGAAGTCGTTCTCTGATGGTAGTAGACTGAAGTCCGTTGATTAGAGCATCGCGTACACTTTCGTTTTGATGGTCAATGGCGGACACCGCCTTGAAATCACAATTTTTGGCCAAGGATTTAAGCCTCTGAACAAACTGATCAACATCTTGACTGGTGTCTTGTTTGAAAGTTTGTAGAAGATGGCGAGCATAAATTATATTCTTAGGACGAACGTACGATTTTTCAAGTGTACTGGTAGCCGATTCGTAATCTGGACAGTCAGCGATATAAACGTATACAGGTGCACCCACAAAATGGATCAGAGTTTCGAGTTTATTTAGATTGGGCGATTCGACAGTGCCCAGAAACGTTTGGAAAGTTCGGAACCAATGATTCCAACGCGTTGTTGCGTCTGGAGAATTAGGATCTGCGTCGAAACACTTGGGTCGCAGCAACGGTTCCATTGTATTCTTAGACAAGTAAATTGGTACGAATAGAATATCGATTCTGATTGAGCGCGAGAACAAGAATGAGTGGCGTAGAATGAATAGCGCTTTACTTGTCTAAGAATAGACGTACATAAGCCGATAATGAAGGCGAAAGCATGGTTAATACAAAACGATAATGTGAGCACAAAGAATATTCATGACAATAGTGTAAGGTCATGCTTCAAAACGTGCAGTCCCCGAATATACCCTTTATCAGGCTACAGTAAGGGTTTTGTGTGGTTGCCAAACATGACCTTTGCGGACGGATAATTTGAGGCGTCTTCGGGCTTTTGACGACGGGTGCTGGTTTTAGATGGTGCCAATGAATTAGTTACGACGGATGTTCAGTTTTATAGCAGGTACTTAAATCGTGAAAAACCTACAGCATCATCACCCACGGTGGTTCGGTCATGTGCTACACACCGAAACACTGTCTCCCAAGACGAATGCCTCCGTGCCTCCTTCAGAATAGCGCAAACCGCGAGGTGGACAACGTATGACTTGGTAGAACGGTGTGAAGGAGTTTATATATGTTGTTTATATGTTGTGCGCCTTCCAGGATGGGAACCTCGTGACCCCGCCTGCGATTGTCTGGAGACATTGTAAGATGTGCTAGCTAATGTAATGCTTCAAATATAATTAGATTAGCTTTGTTTGTATGGCAGTGAAGTGTCAGGGTCAACACTGATTTCGCTGTCCTCTGTGGTGACCGAATGCCTCCCTCCTTCAGAATAGCGCAAACCGCGAGGTGGACAACGTATGACTTGGTAGAACGGTGTGAAGGAGTTTATATATGTTGTTTATATGTTGTGCGCCTTCCAGGATGGGAACCTCGTGACCCCGCCTGCGATTGTCTGGAGACATTGTAAGATGTGCTAGCTAATGTAATGCTTCAAATATAATTAGATTAGCTTTGTTTGTATGGCAGTGAAGTGTCAGGGTCAACACTGATTTCGCTGTCCTCTGTGGTGACGGCGTGTCCTATCATGCTATTCGTGCATATTTTTGTCTTCAGCAACTGATGCCGATAGCAAGACTGTCCAAATTATTCCCCCTGGGAGTCCTTTATAAAATAAACCCCGGAGAAATAAGAATATGCGATAACTGGTTAGGTTACATAGGTCAACTGAGCCAAGACTGTGGACATTTCCTAACTAAAAGTTAATGTGCGGACGTACTAGAATGGCGTATGTTTTGTTTTGCTTTCACAATGAAAAATGTGTTCAAACGTATCGTGCCTACGCGGTTAACATTTACTTCCACCGTTGATAATGATGACGACGACAGAGAAGATGATTTTCACAATACTAGTTCTGCTAACAAGTGTTCCGTAGTATTCAGATGGGCTTCTTCCCACGCGACAGATTTTTCTCGTTAGGATGAGTCATCCTCAGTAATATCACAGACGGTGGACACCCATGACTTACGATCCATAAGAACATCAGCATACGCTGTTGGCGGGTTTTTAGTTCCATCGACGGTGACCGTAGACTACTTTGTCCCGACTATCAGTATTGACACCCATATTTTTGACACATCCATTATGGCAGCGACATGCTGAACACCGCGATGGTGAGGGCCACACTTTAATTCGGTGTCCCGTCCGAAAATAAGAATATCACTTACCGGATAAATTATATTTCGGATTACCTAGATATGCGTTGTTCGATAGTTGCCACTCATGAGTCCTATTCTCACCGATATTTCGCTGCTTTGCTTATTGAATGCTGGTCGTTGCGGTAGCTAACCCGTTCGCTGTTTTGAATGCGTCTTCTAGAACCATGCAACTACCTGTTCTCCGGATCAGTTGTTTTGATACTCATGGTTTAGCTAACATTGTTGATGAAATTTTGCGCTCAGTTCCTCTTTTTAACCCAGTGCTTACTCTTCCATGTACACAGACGCCACAATCCTGTGGAACACCATTGCAAAAGGTTACATGCTCAAATCGTCCTCAAATTTCCTCCGGTCAGCCTATTCGGGCTGACGTTGTCAGAGGTAGTTTAAGTCAGGCCGAGCGCGAAAGACTTGAGCGTCAAGCGGAATTGGCTGAACTTCGTCGCTCCAGAAAACGTTGTATACAGGCCGGTGTTTCTCTTCCACCGCCATCTAACCACGTTTCAGATGCTCCTGTTCAGGTAATTGCATACTTTCTTTTTTCCGTTAATACGTCTTTATCCTAACCTTACAACGTCTACACCATTTGCCACCAATACGCATAAGGCATGCGAATGGACGTCAATGGAGTGTTCGCGCCGAAGATATAGCCACTATTTGGGTTTACGGCTTTCACTGCCTCATCACTGATGACTTGCTGTCATCCCTAGTTTTCATGTGCGTACCGCTAGATTGGATCACTATTGCACACCGAAACACTTTCAATACATCCTTCAGCAGATTAGTCGCACCGCCTCCCATTATCGAATGCCTAGTAGTTGTGATGTTCACTGCACTTTTCCTTAAGTCGACGGGAGTGTAGCTACTATCAGCAAACTTGAATTCATATTCCCTTGATCTTCGGATCATAGTGAACGAATTGGGTTCATTTGTGTAGAAAGTGTGGCTAGTTTCGCTGTTGCGGTGAGTTAATAAGCTTTGAGTGACTCGATGAATTATTTGTTCTCTCTAACGTTTCTCTTCCTATAATTCCAACATTCATGATAATGGTCGCCTGTTCACCAAAACTGTATGCTTGCTGACTGACCTTGATCTTGCTATTTCCGAAACCCTCTCTTGTCCCGAAATACCTTTGACCTGTCATAACTTCCACGCAGCCGGTTTCATTAACTGGTCGTTACTCTGTTGGACTAAATATTTGGTCTCTGTAAGTGCAGCTGGTTGTGCACGACGGTCGGGGTGGTTCATTCCAGGTCTATCGTCTGCCATCCACAAAGCTGGTCATAGTTTTTGTGGATTCGGGTTCACTTTGTATCATTGCTGGGGACCTTGAAAGATGATTGTCGCCCGATATTGTTGAGTCCTCAAATTTGTCTCTACGCTGTCTGTGACGATATAGTTATAAAAGGACGGTAAGTCAGTTCAGTAAGAACATCCAGTAACTTGGGTTGAAGTAATTTTATGCATACACCAAGTCGCCTTTTTGCATCAAGCGCCGCAATTAAAACGTAGATATCTGGAGACACCAATATATGTTCGGTGGAGCCATCACAAACAGATAGGTGCTGAAATAGTGGCAGGAACGTTGAACTGCAACTACTACAACTTCATACCGGTGGCCGACGGAACATGTATATTTTTGGACGGATAGTGTAGAACATTGGGTTTGAAACATTGCGATGCAGTGTTGTTTCCACGCTTTTTCAATACTTATGGCTCAATGTTCTCTGTCTTTACACTTTCCTGCTATGATGGGTGATAACGGAGTCGACAGCTTAGTGGCTAGGACGCGGACCTGCTGGTCGAAGGTTCGAACGCAACCCGGGGCTCTCGTTGCTCATCTCTGGACTGTCCGTGTGCGTTTTTCTCCTGTATACTAAGGTTTGCAATTGGTCGTCTGTCGTCCTGGCGACGAGTTCATCTAGGAACGCCAATTTGTTCGTGGGATCCGAACTTCTGGAACAACTCAGCAAAGCAATAGATAGTACAAAAAGAAAAGAAACTGAACGAGTCACAGTCGGCCGCAAAATCCCCAGAATAGTCAAGCCAAATGATCACAACCGCAACGATACATGGATCACAATACCCACGACAGCGGAGAACTTGTTGAAGGACTCAATCTTAGTTTCAACGGGTACCGATATATTTGCTCATTCTCGAAGCGTCATCAATGGAGAAATCAATATACCAAAACTATCGACTGTCACGCTAAATACAGTATACAACGCCCCGTCTACTGAAGAGAAAGCTGTACAAAACGGAAGCGGATGAAGTCATCGTTATTTTATCAGCTGACAAAAGAATAGTCATTCTGCACGAAACAGAATGCATCGACGAAGCCAACGCGCTGCACAACCGCATGCCACCTGCAGAACAAACAAACTGCAAAACTCAGACAAAAACAGAAACCTGTGGATGTGCCCAAACTCGCGGATAAGAAGCGTGGAAGAATGAAGGCCCAAGACTTGCAAGCTGTCCGATTCTACTGACTTCCAAAGATTCAAAAGAAATGGTGTTGTTCTCAAGCGTTTTACCGCTAGATTTAACTATTCAATGGAAATCGAACGACGATTTATGGAGAGACGAAAACGCCAGGATAAAAGATGATGAGATTACGGCATCTTTCGGTCTAACTTGATTGTGCACATTGGTTGATTTAACTACTACAAGGGACATCTTGACAACCATAAACCGAACGCTTGTGAGAGCAGATATCTGCGAAGTGCTGGATCTGTGGTTGACCTACTTTGAGCTTAATGTACGGCAGTGTGAGCAATTCCAAGGAGCTCCACGGTCGTTCACGGTGGTTTATTGTAGAAGTTACAGCATAACTGAAACAGCCTGTGCTATCAGATATCACACCAAGATGTGTGCGATGTGTGGATCACACGTTTGCTAGTTTAAAGAAAAGTGAGCTGTCACGAGCAAAAAAAAACAGCTGAACGTTTTTTTCGACATCCACTTAGCAGTGGAAATGGGGTACAACAAATTGGCGTTTCCATATTAACTGGCCATAGAAGCAACGGCAAACGGAAGTGTACAGTAAAGAAGCACGCGTTTAGATTCTGAACTACTTTTGTAACCACCTGAACTGCCACAAACGAAACAACATGCGAGCCCTATTCAAACGGATCGGGACGCTTTACAGCACAATGGAATCGAAAACAATGGAAGGCGATTTAATGAGGAATTTTATTTGATGAATCTTACCAATTATAGAACAGGCTACTTTGTCAACACAGCCAGAATGAAGAATGCTTACACTTCCGCGCATCCAACATGGCCAAAAGACTTCCTGTCGCATAATGGAATGACATTTACCTGTAGTTCCTCTAATGTGTTGAGAAGCACCCTGTCGAAGCTAAAGACATGGTTGTATATAGTAAGTGCGACAAACACTGCTGGTCAGACGAAAATGACGAGGAGTGACAAATAGCCGCGTTGCAAAATATTGGAAACAGGACCGTCAAACAACTTCAACCCAAGAAGCAAGGGGATTATGTGTGACAACTATATTCAGCGTGGATTTTGGGTGATCATCCATGATGTCTCAGGCCTTTATCAGTAGTTGATATCACCTATAGGCTGCAACATCGCTTGATTAGAGTGCGTATGTTGTGAACGAGGATGTCTTGGGAGAACACTTTGTTCAACATTCGAGGGTTCCGTTTGAGTTGCACTATATTTTTATCAAAACATGAACCCAACATATATTCGCTCCACTTATGTGTCATCATCCTCGTCGAAAATTCTGAAATCTCCTCATACGACTAACAAACAGGCAAGAAACTTTCGAACCCACAGAGACCTTCAACGTGGTAAAATTATTCACCTCCAAATTCGAAGATGCCTTTGGGTCTGAAGACAACTTAATCGCATCTCCAGTTATCCTGTGTTATAGCCCTTTTGATTGCACGCATTCAGACCTATATCTCAACCAATTCTCATGACTTGGTCGAATCCTATGTGAAATATTCAGAAAATATTCAGTAGGGCAGCGAAGCACTGGGGTTAAACACGGGCGTCATGCTGTCGATGATGATGATGATGATGACATTCAAAAACTCGACTGAATGTCGCACGATTTCAATATTTCGCCAAACTTGAATGTCCATATCCATCTATCCTGTACACATATACCTGCCTCATGAGGACTAGCGCTCTCTTTTATCCTTCCGTGGGCGAGATGGCGAATTTACTGACCGGAAGGTCCGTGGTTCGAACCCGACCTCTGCCTCTCGAATTCCTCTGTCTAGGCTTGGGCAAACTGACAGTATCCCAGCCCTCATGCTTCCTTCGTGTGGTATGGCAGCTAGGCACCGAAAGGGCGCTACAGCTGAACGATTATTTTTTTTATTGGTATTTGTCCTTCCGTATTCCAATTCCCTTCTCTCACTCCCACAGTTGCCCGTAAAATTGGACCCGGTGCCCGAACCACCGAAAGCAACCACACCGGTCACTTTACCAGAGAACTGCATGGCTTCCACAGAAGAGGTGGACAACGCCTCCGAAACATCCGGTTTGTACATTTGTAATATTGTGCCAAGTATCATCGCAGTTTGAGTTGCATTGCTTTTAACTGATTCTTCGTCTGTTTCCGCAGAACTATTTAACCAGGCCGCACTGTGCCAACCTAAGTGTGGTGGTATATGTATAAAATATAAAACTGTCCGTGATTTTTCCTTGGTACCTACACATTCCAAGGAGTCGTTGAAAACATGCGTATATAATTCGGTCATTTTCTCTTTTCACAATAACCTTGTAGCCACTTTTTATTTGAAAATACACGGCCTGCCAAACAAACCGAAGGCCACAGTCCAACTGCTTGAGTGAATTCAATGGAACTCACAGGATTGAACAAATAGTTCGAGTTCTGTTTATACGACAGAGCTGTGTTTGATGATCACAGATTGCTATTTCTGTGCAGCTGCCTTGACTGGTGTAATGTCGTGGATTCATACACCATTTGCCTCCGGTTCGGCACACGTGAACTTGACTGGATTTTCTGAGAAAGTTCTCGTTGGTTTGGTCGAATGGCATGCGGCTCTAAGATGGGGCGGTGATGATGGTTATGTTCCTAGTTAGTTTTACTTACTTGCCAACAACACGTCAACCTTTGCAGCACTGTGTTTCGGTTAAGGTAGTGATGTCATGACTTTTATTCCGCATGAATTCATTACGAACCATCGTCAAACTAGAATCTTTTGCCGTTTTCATCACCAACCACCTGGTACTCCATCCGACCAAACCCCAGATGATGCTTGACTAGAGTGGTTCTCAATGTCCTGTTCCATGCTCCGTTCTCCTTTTCAGATTTCACCCACCCCTATTACTTACGACCAAAGTTCGGTGCACAACGAACTCGTGCAGAAGAGACTGAGGCACTCCCTCGTCAACGTTCTGCTACTTTCGTCCCTCCTCATGGGACATCTCCTGGCGACACGGTCTCCGAAGCAGGTATCGATAGTGATGTCGATTCAGTCAGTTGTGAGGATCGTCGTTCCAAACGGTCGGATTCTCACAGTCGTGTTATCAGGAACGAGCATCCGGCGCGATCATCGTCCAAAGAGGAACTCCCCAAATCAGACTTTGACGAGCATTGTGACAACAAAGGTAGATGGTTTAGCTGTCTTATGTGCCGTCTTATGGGTACCGTCAAAGCTGATACCTTGTGAGGGGGTGTATGTGAATTCCTGTGGGAGCGTACTAGTGTACAGCAAGACTTCGCCTGAGTTCACTACGTCCACTGGTGTGAGATAAGCCTGCCATCTCTGAACGTTGCTCTTCAACTTCGTTATTGAATATGCTGCTTACAACTTTCCTGCCTGTCTCGGAAACCTCGAGGATCGAAACTCTTCCGGAGCGTTTCCTCATAGACATTGTGTACGCGGATGATTTTGCCCTTCTTGCCTCACTACCATAAGAAATGCGAGCCATTGCAAATGGCCTAAGTAGTTCTGTCGCACGGTTCGTAATGTGCTTCGTACCCGCAAGGTGCGTAAGGCTCTTATAAGGCTGAATGGGGTCAAATCCAAACCGCAGCCTTGCAGGCCAGCCAATCGACGTGGCAGATAATTTTGTTTATCTGAGCAGTTCCGGTGGATTGGCTGGAGATAAAGTTACCTCGAATCCGACAGGCCAGGATAGCCTTCGCCAGCCTCCGACGCGTATGGCGCTGACGTGACGTCCGGCGCAGTTTACGCGGTGGCGGTGCATTCCACACGTCGCCAAAGTAGAATTTTCTGTCGTTTTCATCTCCAACTACCTGGTACTCCATCTGATCAAACCCCAGATGATGCTTGACTAGAGTGGTTCTCAATGTCCTGTTCGATGCTCCGTTCTCCTTTTCAGATTTCACCCACCCTTATTACTTACGACCAAAGTTCGGTGCACAACGAACTCGTGCAGAAGAGACTGAGGCACTCCCTCGTCAACGTTCTGTTACTTTCGTCCCTCCTCATGGGACAGCTCCTGGCGACACGGCCTCCGAAGCAGGTATCGATAGTGATGTTGATTCAGTCAGTTGCCAATCGACGTGGCAGATAATTTTGTTTATCTGAGCAGTTCCGGTGGATTGGCTGGAGATAAAGTTACCTCGAATCCGACAGGCCAGGATAGCCTTCGCCAGCCTCCGACGCGTATGGCGCTGACGTGACGTCCGGCGCAGTTTACGCGGTGGCGGTGCATTCCACACGTCGCCAAAGTAGAATTTTCTGTCGTTTTCATCTCCAACTACCTGGTACTCCATCTGATCAAACCCCAGATGATGCTTGACTAGAGTGGTTCTCAATGTCCTGTTCCATGCTCCGTTCTCCTTTTCAGATTTCACCCACCCTTATTACTTACGACCAAAGTTCGGTGCACAACGAACTCGTGCAGAAGAGACTGAGGCACTCCCTCGTCAACGTTCTGTTACTTTCGTCCCTCCTCATGGGACAGCTCCTGGCGACACGGCCTCCGAAGCAGGTATCGATAGTGATGTTGATTCAGTTAGTTGTGAGGATCGTCGTCCCAAACGGTCGGATTCTCACAGTCGTGTTATCAGGAACGAACATCCGGCGCGATCATCGTCCGAAGAGGAACTCATCAAATCTGACTTTGACGAGCATTGTGACAGCGAAGGTAGATGGTTTAGCTGTCTTACGTACCCAACGGTATTGTTACGCAAGTTTTTGACATTGCTTTCATTGTTTTCGATAGTGTTTTGTTTTGTCTGAAACTCCGTCAGCATGTAGGGCTGTTTAACGTTGCTGGGAATTTGTTGTTGTGACACACTTCCACCGCGCTTCTCCTCGCTCACCAAGCAATGCCGCGTAACTGTAGATTATGGTGTGTGTGTGTGTGTGTGTGTGTGTGCACGCGCGCGACAACCTAGGGTTTTAACAATGTGAAATTGCTGCACTGGATTGTTGATTTTCAGAGAAAGTTCGATGCATTCCATCGAGCCCTGTGGTATTGTTCATAACTCGTTTAACACCGGGCGATGAATGTATGGGACTTTTAGTGTAATTTGGAGGTCGTTCCGCTTTAGCGCGCCTCCGGTACGTAGCTGCTATAGCCTCCGATGAAAACACATGGACCTAGGACCTGGCAATTTGCCTGAGCGTGCACAGGAGCAGTCGTCGTCCGTAGATTTGCTTCGAGCCAAAACATTCTAATCAGTAATTCGGGGGCTTATTTTTGGATTTGTTTCTAATTCAAGTCATTATTATGTGTATGTGGAACTAGAAAGATGGACGTCAATAGTCGGTGCGTTTTGGTAGCGGATCTTCGTTTTGGAAATGTTTCATTCTCTTGGACGTAGTATCTTCTGAGAGGTGTTTTCACGTGTTGGATATAAACAGAGTTTTCATTGCGACTGGGCTGAATAGTGTGAGCGTATTGTTCGACATGCTGTAGAGCTTTATGGGCAGGCTTCTCTGGACGACTGAGTCGGGTAATAGCACGTCGTCAGAAAGAGTTGCTACATGGCCGGAGCTATTTTCGCAGAAAGCCAAATGGTTGAGTCACTGGGCAAGTTTACTTGAGTATACAGAATATCGTATGGTTCGAAAAAGTCAAGGCACGTGTGGTGCCAGTGAGCAGAGACGCTTTGGGTGGTCTCGGCCTCCAAAGTCTTGCTTACCGGTCGGCTGCTCTGCTGACTGAGCTACCTAGATCACAATTATGCACTTGAACTTCACAGCTGACTCGCCCTCGAAAGACTGAATGTGAACACAATGAGTACCCATTATGAGACGATCTGGGGTTAAAGTTGTACTGTCTTCTGAGGACAGTAGAGTATTTCCTCCAATTGACCAGCGCTTCCGTACTTACGGGAACTCAGCTGCTGCCTTGTCTCGAAGAAGGATGGATTGGGAAGGTTCGGTCTTAAAACGTGCACACTCCGGTTGCCCAACGGTTGACGGCGATGACCGGCGTGTGCTTTTAAGAACCGATTCCAAACGTAAACTGTTCCCGTCAGCATAACCCTCAGGGTCCTCGCAAGACAGCGATTTTAGATGTATCGAGTTTTGTGCATTAAAAATAGACTGTAGACGGGAAAAATAACAGAACATGTATGGTGGAATGCGTTTGTTATTAAACTAAGTCCTGCTGGATGGTAGCAGCTTGTTGAGCTCACTCCAGAATTAGCAAGATTCTTGATGAATTGTGTTGCTGGTTTGGACGAAAGTTTGACCGCCATGTGGGAAATCTGCCGACGAACTACTCCCTCTACGTTGTCACTACCGGAGAAAAGAGCCCAGTTCAAAGTACCGTCTCGTCTTGCATTGGTGATTGCCGACGGAATTACTGCAACCAAGTCTGGTGCGACGGTGAACCGCGGTTTCTGGGTTGAAGCGAATTTCATCTTAATCTCGCAGGTTGATTCGTAGTGGCGTTGTGTGTCCGGTTGTTCGTTTCCAGTGTCTGGAAAGCCTGTTGCAACTTCGCCGTTGGCCTTTTCAGAAACAGTATTGCAAAATCACCGCCTTGAGCGATTGGCTAAACACTTTAAAGAGTGGTTCAGCTGGGTTCTTTTGGCACAACCTCTTGACCAACCCAACAAGTCTCACGTGAACATCGACACCAGCCCGCTTTCAACAATAGCTATCCGGCAAGAAACATCATTCCTCCAACGCGACAAGGCACCCGACCTCGCGCTTTTCGAAAAGGTGGTGAAGCCCTAGTGAGCAGTGTGACACCCCTACTACCGAAGATCTTGGACGGAAACAATACTAGTGAAATGGAGCGCCTAGACCATTACTCCAACGTTTAAAATGCGAATGATCATGCGAAAACCATCTTGTCATCAGCCCGGTATCTGTGGCATCCAATGTGATCTCTGACATTTTGTGCATGTAGATCGATCGGCGGGAAGCAGGTTTGTGAAAACCAAGCTGGGTTTTACCGAGAATGAATTGGCCATACTTTTATCGTGGTACTTGTTCCTGAACAGTGTCCCACGCTCGTGGTTCTTCTTTATCCGGAAGCTGTTTTTGACTCTGTCGATCGTCAGAAACTGGCGGTGTTTGACGATCGAAGGGGTACCGTCAAAACTCATACCCTGTGGGGGGGGGGTGAATGTGAACTCCTGTGGGAGCGTGCTAGCATATAGAAAGACTTCGTTTGAGTTCACCACATGGAGCAGTGTAAGACAAGGCTGCCATCTCTCACCATTCCTCTTCAATTTTGTTGTTCATATGCTGCTTACAACTTCTCTGCCTGTTTCCGGAGCGTTTCCTCATAGACATTGAGTACGCAGATGATATTGCTCTTCTTGGCTCTTCACCATGAGAGATGCGAGCCATTACAAATGACTTAAGTAGTTCTGTCACAGTTTGCTATGCGCTTCATCCCTGCAAGGTGCGAAAGACTGCTAAAAGGCTGGATGGGATCAAATACAAACCTCATGCTTGCAGACCAGCCAATCGACGTGGCAGATGAATTTTGTTTAACTGCGCAGTCCCGGTGGATTGGCTGGAGATAAAGTTACCTCGAATCCGGCTGGCCAGGATGGCTTTGCCAACTTCCGACACCTATGGCGCTGACATGAAGTCTGTCGCAGAGTGTACGCCGCAGCGGTGCGATCCACACTGTTTTGTGGATCGGAAGTGTGGCCTCTACGAGCAGAGGACATACGAAAGTTATCAGGGTCTGTCTGTCAGTGTCTATGGATAATTGGCCGAGTTTGGTGGGAACATCTGGTTAGTGATGCCAAGGTAAGTCAGATGGCTTTAGGAAAATATAACTCTCTAACAGTGGGTCAGCTACTCACCCGTTTTAGATTCCGCTAGTTAGGACACACTCCACAGGGATAAATTTTTCTGTCCAGCTCTGTACTTAGTGGAAACGACAGACATGCGGATGGTCTATGACCTGGCAACGAGATATGAAAATGCTCGCCAGCAAACTCAGCCGCGTCGACAGTTTCCGCCTCCCTGGCAGGGGAACTGTGGGACTCAACCGAGTACACATGCCTAAATCACGCGGCCGGTGGCGCTGGTGCATCGAGGCTATCTTCTCCAATGTATAGCTGCCTAGTCTCCCGAATCGACTGTGTATTGTGGATTCGCTTCTAATGCTTGGACCTAGCTGCAACGCTCTCCTATTTTCCGATGCTCGGAACTGTAAGAGCTCGAACTGATGTACCCTTGGTACATGATTTACAGCTAATAAACTGAACCGAACCGAACCTGTTCGTTGTATGTTGTCCCCACCCAACGCGTGGCCACTTTTTATTTGAAAATGCCCGGTTTGCCATACAAACCGAAGAGCACAGTCGACCTTCTTGAGTGAATTCGATGGAACTGACGGGACTGAACAAATAGTGCGAGTTTTGTTGTACGAAGAAACTCGATGGAACAGAGCTGTGTTTGATGACCACAGATTGCTATTTTTGTGCAGCTACTGTGGCTAGTGTAATGTGGTGGATTCGTGTGCTCACTCCATGGACACTTCTCATGTCTTGACATTGCCCTCTTATTTAGCTTAACGTTTGCGTCCGGTTCGGCACACGTGAACCTGACTGGATTTTCTGAGAAAGGTCTCGTTGATTTGGTCGAATGGCATGCGGCTCTAAGATGGGGTGGTGATGATGGTTATGTCGCGAGCCTCCGACGCGTATGGCGCTGACGTGACGTCCGGCGCAGTTTACGCGGTGGCGGTGCATTCCACACGTCGCCAAAGTAGAATTTTCTGTCGTTTTCATCTCCAACTACCTGGTACTCCATCTGATCAAACCCCAGATGATGCTTGACTAGAGTGGTTCTCAATGTCCTGTTCCATGCTCCGTTCTCCTTTTCAGATTTCACCCACCCTTATTACTTACGACCAAAGTTCGGTGCACAACGAACTCGTGCAGAAGAGACTGAGGCACTCCCTCGTCAACGTTCTGCTACTTTCGTCCCTCCTCATGGGACATCTCCTGGCGACACGGTCTCCGAAGCAGGTATCGATAGTGATGTTGATTCAGTCAGTTATGGGGATCGTCGTTCCAAACGATCGAATTCTCACAGTCCTGTTATCAAGAACGAGCATCCGGCGCGATCATCGTCCGAAGAGGAACTCGTCAAATCAGACTTTGACGAGCATGGTGACAGCGAAGGTAGATGGTTTAGCTGTCTTACGTACCCAACGGTATTGTTACGCAAGTTTTTGACATTGCTTTCATTGTTTTCGATAGTGTTTTGTTTTGTCTGAAACTCCGTCAGCATGTAGGGCTGTTTAACGTTGCTGGGAATTTGTTGTTGTGACACACTTCCACCGCGCTTCTCCTCGCTCACCAAGCAATGCCGCGTAACTGTAGATTATGGTGTGTGTGTGTGTGTGTGTGTGTGCACGCGCGCGACAACCTAGGGTTTTAACAATGTGAAATTGCTGCACTGGATTGTTGATTTTCAGAGAAAGTTCGATGCATTCCATCGAGCCCTGTGGTATTGTCAATAACTCGTTTAACACCGGGCGATGAATGTATGGGGTTTTAACTGTAATTTCAATCGGATGTAGTTTCTTTTTGTACATTTTGGATGTGTGTGGCCATGAAGGACCTCCCTAGATTTGGAGCAAACGTTTTTCTGTGGGATGAACCTTTGACATGCGTTTTCTGTTTTCATTTTCGATGTTTGTGCTTTACGTCGTCTTTCTTCTTGAAGTATTTGAACAGGGTTTTCATGTTTTGTTGGTTGTTGCTGGTTGTTTCCAGTTTCAGTCTCACAACGCCGCGTTGATCGTCTTGCTGAGTTACCATCTCTGTTACAATGCGAGCGGAACATCATTCTCCAGGCTAGTACTGCTTTGCGGCATTGTACCACGTATACTGGGCCTAGTGTCCAGGATGCAACGCCTAAGCGATCGAAGATTGCATCACGTGTTACTGCTGGCGAAGCTTCTTCTCACTCTTTGGAGCCTGAATCCATGGCATACGTAGAGGCGAACAAGATGTTGCTCATCGCATGTAAGTAGTCCACCTTTTGTTCAACTTTATCGTACCAACCTACCGAATAATCCAACTGTCCATGGGGATGTTTGTATCATTTCATCCTCAATAGGTCAACGTCGTCAGGTTCTGATGGAAGAATTAGCACTTTTGCATCGCGGTTCACCTGTTCTGGTGCCACCTAGCCGTGGGGAGCCTATTCGCGGACGGCTTAAATTGGACGCTGTTCGCCTGGGATTGAAACCTTTCCACAAACCCGGGGACCCTTCAAGCGGTGGGGGCTATGTTGTTCTGGATAAGGCTGTGGCCAGTTCATTTGCGTGCACAAAAATGACGCGTACTCCCCCGACTCAATATCACTTGTTGGCGATTATCAAGTAAGGGTTTTTCGTGTGAATACTTTGTATTCGACAGTTAGTCTTGCCGGACCTAATACTGGGGTAATAATATTCAAAGAGCGTGCTACTTTTATGTTCAAACCCATATCCTTATTTCGCGCGGTCGGTTTCTCTCTTATGGTCATTTCTCACCATCTTCTGGCTTCATCCCTCCTTTCACTGTTGATTAACCTTTCGTTAAAATGCACTTTATAGGTGTCGTGGTGAAGGTCGTATGTTCCACAGCGATATGGTCACTCTGGTGCATGTTAGTGATCTACCTGTAGGTACTGGTCGAGCAGCCACCTACGTGGACCTGCCAACTGCAATCGAGGTACGTTTTTCACACTGATTAGTTTCTAATTCTGCAGTTTTCTCCAAACGTCTATTTTTTACGTTTTCAAGTGGGTTTCAGTTCATCTTTCACCTTTTCCGTATGGTCTGAAAATGGAGACCGACCTCCGATTCATACATTTCCATAGAAATTGGATTAAAAACAATGGTTAATGATCAACACACCATTTATGGTGGATTAGCAAACTCAAGCAAGCTTATCACGTTGCATAGGATCGCATGTAAATAGCCGGATGAGGATGGCATAAACAATTAATGAAGTAGAAGACACAAAAAAGATAATCTGCCAGCTGTAACACCGTTTTGGTGCCTAGCTGCCAAGCCACCCATAGGAAACACCAGGAGTAGAATACTACCAGGTTACCCAAGCGTAGACAGGGGACGACGTAGGTCGGACCCACGATCAGTAAACTCGCGCTCTAACCACCGAGTCCTCTCGTGAAGTGTGGAATGTGGCAAATTATGATGCCACACAATTGGAATTTTCTCCCTAGAAAGGCTTCTAGGCGCCTTTTTAAAACAGCCGCTTAAGTAGAATATATCACAACTACTGGAAAGAGCTCCACTATTAGATACACAGTTTGGCAATAGATGGGTTGTGTCTACAAGGTAAGGAGGGAACCGAACGGAGTGGTGTATTGCGTCGGTGTTTTTGTACACACTGAGTGTAGCTTAAGGGGTTCTCTGTATCCTGGATGAGCCGGATCTTTAGACCGCCTTTGCAGCTCTACGTTAGCGCAATTCTAGGAAGCGCTCATCTCAGGGGTACCATTTAGTCTAAACTTGAATAGATGTGGATGCTAAAAATGTTTCGTCAGATTAATCTGTTGAACGAACCAAAAACTCAGCCCATCATCCCAAGGTGTTTAGTAGTTAGTTTGACTACGTCGGCATGTTGATGGTAGCATCCTGTGGAGCTAGAAATATCGGCTCGTTTTACTGTGCAACCCGTCGACCTGGATCGCCCCCTCACCAAACGTTTGTCACGCATAACGAACAGTACGTGGCACTCGTTCTCATTGAATCGAAGGGGCTATCCACGCCTCAGTAGTATGCTGCTTCTAGCGCACATTGTTGTATGGTGCTCGGACCAAAATCGCGCAATGGTTAAGACGTGAACTTCCTGACCGGAAGGTCCGTAATTCAAACCTAGCCAGGCAGTATGTCAGCTTTCGTGCTGACCTTTGGGTGGCATGTCAGCTATGCTCCAAAAGTGTGCTAAAGCTGAGTTATTATTCATTTTTATGGCTCTGGGCCTCATTCACTGTTGTCGGTTATCAGTCAGGTAGAAGACTGGGGGTGGCATGTCATGCTCCAAAAGTGTGCGAAAGCTGAGTTATTATTCATTTTTATGGCTCTGGGCCTCATTCACTGTTGTCGGTTATCAGTCAGTCAGAAGACTGGCTTTGCTAACTTACTACGTATCCCTTAGGTA